GAGAAATGAAGGTGGATTTCCCAAGTGGAATGATGAAGAAGCAACGAAAAAAAACAGTAGAAACACTGAGCAGAAGGGTCTTCTTTTTCTCCATCGTGAAGAGGTAAAAAAAAAGAAGACAGAGAGATAGGAGATACTAAGCATCGAGGAGATTGAAGAGAATTAGAGCGATAGAGATGTGAGGAGAGCGACTCTGACCTATGACAGCAATTCGTGTGCGGAACCTCAGGAGCATGGTGGTATCCAGTGTACATCCTTGAGCCTTAGGGAATTTGCCTGGCATATTTTTGCAAAAGATCAGATATGTCCTGTGTGCTTGTGGACCGCTCTATCGCTTTCAAGCTGAAACTTCATTTCAATAGTTCAAAGGCAAGCCCCGGATTAAAACTGGTGTATAAGGGTGCTTTGTAGTGATGGCTGAGGAAAGATTAGGATTAGCGCCCTAATTCGCGCAACTTGTGTGGCGAGGCTGGCACGATTCATGTAGATACGGACCCCACCATTTCCCTCGCGGTATCCTTCCTACCAGTCGGGCTAATCCCGAGGTTTGTATTTTTTTGGAGAGGGCAATCAGCACTGAATGAATACAGGACACAATACGGGATAATTAATATTCCGAATTCCTGTCTTTCCCAAATTGGTGGTAACTCCAGCTTCCAACTTCTGCGGATTTGTTCATTTTTGGCGGAAGAAGAAGCCCTTTTAAGGAGCAGTGGGCTCATCGCAAGCAACTTTATAAACTCGAGTTGTTCAGCAAATCCATAAAAACGACACTTTACGAGAAAAGAACAAATGGTTCAGCGACGATCTTTTCAAACGAATGACTGTTGTCCACGACAAAATTCACGAATATCAAAATGGTGTATACGGTGAGATATTGCCATATTAATCAATGAAAGAGCAATAATTAAAAGGGCAACCTTAACGAGTGTTCGAAGTTTGCACTTGCTAGACGGTGCTGAGCAGTGACCAAGAAATGATAAGCGATAGTGAAGAAGCCAAAGATATGTTTATTGTAGTCATGTAGACAGTACGAATTTGAATTCGAGAGTAGGACCTTCATGGGCCAAATTTCGAGCTAATACGAAATCGTATGCATGGACAGCCTGGATTCGCCTTGGTTGGGAAGATCTAAATATGGGAAGGTGTATTTGGCTTGCCAGGGAAGGCCGGATTGAAGTGCTAAAAAGCGTCGCGGATACTCGGTTGTTGAGGGTTAGGGCCGATATCAGACTTTGCGAATCGAGCGATACGCTAGCGTCCGCGGTCGCGCTGCGGTGCCAGCTAATCAAGCGATTTGTTGGCCACCGCAATCGCTCGATACGGTATGACATCGGGGTATGGGTGCATTTAGCGCGTCTATGTCGCCAAAACTTGCAGTTTGTAAAAGCAAAAGTTCTTTTTGGATCGCAATATTGCTTATGTACTTTTGCCCGAAAAATTTTTATTTAGGGGATAGATCAAAGAGTACTATTCGCATTCTCCGCACGGCCCTTGACGGAGTCTAAACAAAGGGTATCTTCCCTGGGCTCATCAGTAGGGAAGAGAGGTACAAGGAATTTTATGAAGCCAAGGTTGATAATATGATCAGCACTGATAACTCCTACCCAAAAAATCACAGTGACTCCCGTCAGATCCCGATCGACCCGAAATTCGTAAGCTAATTTAATGTTGCTAATTTGAACACTGTTATATTTAAGGCCTTTTGGGGGGTTGAGCAGGTCCCGAGTGGTCCAATTTATTAAACCATCCATGGCAAAGTGGTCTTGGTCTACTCCACGCTGCAATTTGAGTTGAGCCAAATAATGTGTGCTCTTTCAGAAAAACCCATAATAATGAATGGTCTCAATATCGGTAACGAAATACAGAAAATTCGAGGAGGGTCAATGTTCAACGATCTCAAAATGCACATGGATATTAAATTACAATGTCTGAATCAGTCTAGCTCCAACTGCAAATGGATCAATGGACTGAAGTACTATGTCTACTCAGCGGTAAGAACTTCTGCTAGAGCCGGCTCCGAAGGTTCGGTGTGACAAATGGGTGGGACATCGGGCAAACTTCTCTTCATGATGTTTATTGTCGATTAGGCACAGCTTTATCAGGACAAGATACCCAACATTTTTGGCTTTGTTGATGCGCCATGCACTCAAGTGCCATTGGAATTCATAAGGTCTTGTACCGCGCATTGAAAGGCAGTGTCCTATCGGTGTCAAGGGAAGATTTTAATATTTCACCAGTACTGTGATGGTGAAAAAGTTGGTGAGCCCGAAGGGATTCCTTTTGAGGTTCGATTTCCGGATGTGCTGGATACTTGCCAACTTCTTGCTCACCTTTTAGTGACACCACCTCACTTCTGGCCAGGCTCTTAACATAGTTCAAATTTAGATCTTTTGGAACCTTCTCAAGGAATGTTATTCAGCATGATAGCACAATTTATTCCTTCTTCGCCATTATGGGTATCCAGAACAAGGTGATCAGTCCAACCGGATATCCGGACTACACTGCTGCGACGTTTATCGAACTATGGAGGAATCGCACTGATAATCAGCCCTACTTTAAGGTCGGTTAAAATTTGAAAAACGCTGCTATGTTTTCACTCTGTTATTGCACTTTATTTTATTACAATACACTGAAGGATGCCGCCTATGTAAGTTTAAGAGGACATGGAGCCACGAGAAGGAGCACAATCCTCATCACGATCACCACTTTCAGAAGAGAAAAGAAGAAAATAGAGTTAGACCTTATATTTGTCTCAAGGATGTGCGCTCCTGCTGTGGGAGTCTCGTCATTGGTGCGAACTTCGAGGCGGACTTAAAGGCACAGTCCACGGTCAAAAAAGTTTGTATTTTGCTCGTAAATGAAACAAAAGATGCGAAGAAGACCGACGGCAAAGACAAAAGCAAAAGAAACCGTCAGGAAAACTGGACAATTTTATGTAAGGTTAAAGTTTTTGTGTCACTCCGATGGAGAGACACAGCGCGCCGAGGAGGCATAAATGTTGAACACCTCTGATTTCCCGAATATCTCTGAGGGCTGAAACCTTAACTTGAGCTCCTCGAATGAAGCAGCCCATATGTCATGCGGGATTCCAGGGGCGACGGACTTTTGGTGCGTCCGGGGTTGCACGCGGCGAATCGCGCGGCGGGCTGCGCGGCGATCCGGACGAGGCAAGTCTTCGCGGGCTCCTGCAGTGGAATTCAACACGTCAGA